AAAAGACTGTCTTTTGGATAGTACTGATTTTTCTTTCGTTGACAGTTTGTATTTGGATATTTTGACACATTTAGTTTGCAGAGCCTTCTGGGTGTTGGATCGGATATGCTGATGATGAAGTAGTTTGTCTGGATTTATTTCTGTGTAGTGTTGAGAAGTTTTAGAAACTTGTCATTTTTAATTAAATTGCTTATTTTATTTTTCTTGCACGTTAGGCATTTGTCCAGATGTTTATTGTATATGATTTATAGGGCATGAAACACCTTGGAGGAGTGGTTGACTTCTGTGTGGTGTTGAGAAGTTTTAGAAACTTGTCATTTTTAATTAAATTACTTATTTTATCTTTCTTGCAAGTGAGGCATTTGTTCTGATGTTTATTGCATATGATTTTTAGGGCATAAAACACCTTGAAGGAGTGATTGATTTCTAGTGAACTGTGCAAACTGTGTTATTGCAAAATTTGGAAAAAGAGTGTATTGTTAAGAATAGACAGCTTTAAGAGCAAGGTTACGTCGCTGGGAAGAGGCAAAGTTGTAGATATGTTGAGCCATGGATCTATGTGATGTGTTCGTTGAGGATTGGAAATCTTTCTTTAATTTAAGTCCTTTTAGGACAATATCCAATTTTTTGTATATTGTTAAGAAGAGAATGACCGATCTTGTTTGTGCAAATTTCCTCAAATTAGTTTCATGCTGTCTTCAAACACAAAGTTGAGTTGTGTCAAAGTGAGTTCCAAAATTCATGATTAATATGATATAATAGAAATAAATTGTCCTTTTTTTTTTTGAACATACACACACACACACACACACATATATATATATATATATATATATATATATATATATATATATATATATATACAAAGACATATATAAAATGATTAAGCAGGACACCGTTTGGTGCTGATCTCACTGTTTACTTTTGCCTATGTTATATTCCTGATAATCAGCACTTTCACACATAAATATAGCATATCTTAAAATATATTTTTATTATATATATATATATATATATATATATATATATGTGTGTGTGTGTGTGTGTGTGTGTGTGTGTGTGTGTGTGTGTATGTATATATACACTGCGTGCCAAATTATTATCGAGGTAACTTTTTTCCTAATATTTCAAAAACCGTCCAATCAATTTACACAAAATTTTCACACAATGTTGGCAACACTGAGCTACGCAATCACTGAAATTTTCGTACTGATCTGCGCAAGGTAAACAAGCCGGCGCCATATTTGTTATCAGCACGGTGATTTGAGCGTGCCAAATTATTAGAAAGGTTTAGTAAAATTCCCAGAATTGAGCAAACAAAACGTTTATTAATGTTGAACGTGAATGTTTATGATCAAAAGAAGCTAATAAATAAGATAATCAAACAATAACAGATACAAACAAAGGCACAGTTTTAAAGAAATTAATAGGGAATGTGCTTTCCCTGTTTTGAAATTACTTGAAAAAGTCGACGATCAAAAGAATTTGTTAATTGTAGGATGTCATCTACTGTAATGCCACGAGATATGTCAGGAATTGCTTCCCACAACCCAGCGTTGCTCCTGAATTGTCGTCCGTTGGCGTACATTCTTCGCTTCATGATGCTCCAAAGTTTTTCGATTGGGTTCAAATCCGGAGAATTTGCTGGCTACTTCCTTTTTCGAGGTCCATCGAAGGCTAACTGTTTCAAATATTCAGTAGTCTTGTGTGCGGCACGTGAGGGAGCATTATCTTGCATAAAAACAATGGCCCTTATGAAGGCAACTCTTTGCCTTTTCATCCACGGTTCAAGATGCTCCTTCATAAACGCTAAGTATGCATCAGCAGTCATTTTGACGCCATCTGGTACTCTCCATGGGCCCACTAATGTGTTTCCAATAATACCACCCCAGATCGTTATGCCTCCACCTCCTTGTTGGCGTCTCAAACACTGATGGCGATTCTGTCCGTTAATTACCCAGTCTTTGAACCATCTATCTGGCCCTTCAAGTGTTGCTCGAGTTTCGTCTGTGAACAAAACTTTAGAGAAATCAATCTTCATATTGTCCTCGGCCCATTTCAATCGATTTTGAATGTGATTTCTCGTCAAAGGAGACTTCGATACAGGTTTGACTGTTGTTGCTATTTCTCTCAGATACCGACACCGAGTCCTTTTAGACACAGTAGGATCCCCAATACGACTGAAAAGCTCTTGTCTGGTAAGTCCAGTGTTCTTCGTGGCCTCTCGTTTAAGTCGTGACATGAGACGACGTGAATTAACCCTCGGCTTGCCTTTATATGCCCTTTTGCGTACTTGTGTAGGGTCGGCGGTGAATTTTTCACTATGTGATGACACTTCCCTATCATTTTAAAAGTTTCTAGGGTAGATTTAACTTTTGAGAGTTCTGAGGTAATAGTTTTCTTTTCAGCATCACTTAAACTGTTTTTACGGCCCATCTTTTCACTAAATTCTTATACTTTTCTAATAATTTGTCACGCTCAAATCACCGTGCTGATAACAAATATGGTGCCAGTTTGTTTACATTGCGCAGATCAGTACGAAAATTTCAGAGATTGGGCAGCTCAGTGTTGCCAACATTGTGTAAAAATTTTGTGTGAATTGATTGGACGATTTTTGAAATATTAGGAAAGAAGTTACCTCGATAATAATTTGGCACGCAGTGTATATATACATACATATATATAATAAACGAGCGAGTCATAAAGTTAAAACATAGAGTGGTCAATATGCTAAGTAGAGCTGAGATAAATAAAATAAATCCTAAAGAGCCAAGAACAACCTACCTAGGTTTCACCTAAACGAATCTTCTGGGTAATCTGGCTAAAAATGAAATGACACGACAGAAAAAATTTTATTGATAAAAACAATAAAACTATTATATATATATATATATATATATATATATATATATATATATATATATATATATATATATATATATATATATAAAATTGTGTGTGTTTAGGGAAAAGTTTTTTTTTATCAATACAGGTTTTATGAAAGAGAAGGAATGATTTTAATAAAAATATATCTTAGTAATTTGCAACGTAAAATCATGAAAATTAAAAAAATATAAAAATTCGGTATTAATCATAGGTTTCTTAAAGTTTCTGTATTATAAGTTTGTTTCTAAGACTCTTTAAAAAGAAAAATTGTTAGAGATGTCATGAAGAATCTTCACTTAATGACAAAGGAAATTGCCAATGATGTAAATACATCAACGTTGAATCTATCGACGAAGACAGTCACAAGATGCTTTTATCGAACAGTAATTCGAGCTTGTCGCCCTAGAAAAACTCGTTTTCTAAAGGCTAAACACCTAAAATGCAGATTAGCTTGTGATAGAAGCCATCTAAAACAGGGAAGTAAAAACTGAAACTTTGTTTTATGGTTAGATGAAACGAAACTAGAATTATTTGGTCACATGAGGTCGCGTTATTTATGGAGGAAAGTGAGAGAAGCCCAATCAAAACATACCCTCCTTACAATTATGCAATTGGTGAGAGCATTCTGCTCGGGTTTTGTTGCTTCAGGAGAGCAAGTAAGAATCCAGGTATAAAGAGGTATTTGGCTATTCTTAAGAATAATATACAACAAAGTAATCGAAAGCTGTCTTTGGGCTTTAACTGGATGTTCAACATAACAATAACAGGAAATAAAAGTATTGGCGTACCATGCACAAACATTCATGGGCATATTTGAAGAAAATAATTAAGAGAAAGGATTCCTTCAAATATGGAGGAACGAGAAGCTATTGTCAAGGAAGAATGGAGCAAAATACCTATCCGTGTGTTGTGTGATATTGTAAGGATCTATCAAAAATGATTGAAGGCAATAATCAAGAATAAATGTTACAGAATTGATTATTGAGGCAAAAGGGCTGGTAATTTTGTCTTATGTTAAATGTTTTTTTGGTATCATTGTTTGACATCAAAATAAAAAAGTTTTGGGCATCACTGCACATTACGTCAAATCTATTATTTCATCATGAAGTTTTCATGAAAATTTGAGGTATTAGAGCTTTATTTGTAATTATAGAAACGGGGTGAATACTTCTGTCCACACACACACACACACACACACACACACACATATATATATATATATATATATATATGTGTGTGTGTGTGTCTGTATGTATATGTATGTAAGGCCTATATCGCAAAAAGAATTGCAAAAAATAAAACTGAATCGTGAAAATAAGATTGAAGTTCTTTCTTTTCTTCTTTGTTCAACCATATTCTTCTTTTTTTGAATTTCTTGTTACTTTCTGTTTTAATTAATTGGCTCTTTTATTGGACTTGTGAGCCTTGATTCGGAAAGCCATTTGTTTTATAGACCAGTTTTTATGTAGCAGATTTCACTTAGAATTTTTATTTGAGGAATGATTTATTGATTTATTTCCTTTCTTTTTTTTTGTGAGGATTTTTAGAGATCGTGCACTGTTTACCCGATTTCGTTATGAAATAATTCTCTGGAACTTGTAGAAAGAAAAAAGAAAGAAAAAAGAAAGAAAAGGATACAAAGAAAGAGAAAAATAAAGAAAGGAAACGACGAAAGAAAACTGGGAAGAAAGAGCAAATAATAAAAAGAAATAGAAAAAGAGAAAGAAAGAAAGAAAAAAGATAGAAAGAACGAGCAAAAGAAAGACAAGATACAATGAAAGAAAGATAGAAAAAGGTAAAAGAATGAAGAGAAAGAAAGAAAGAAAGAAAGAAAGAAAGAAAGAAGGTGAAATGAATAGCGACAAAATCATGAACGGAGTAAAAAGCAGAAAAGAAAAAGTAAAAGAAAAGAACGAAGTAAAAAACAGAAAAGAAAGAAAGAAAAATGCGGGAAGAACAAAGAACATCATAAAAAACAATTTTGAAAATCGTATTTATATGAACTGCATGAAAATAGCAAAGAATTATATTAAAAAATAAAGATTTCAATGAAAACAGAAAATACAATGAATTGTAAAAGAGTAGGATTTTGCCGTTGGAACTCAATATAAGAGTTAGGAGAAAGAGAGAGAGAGAGAGAGAGAGAGAGAGAGAGAGAGAGAGAGAGAGGGGGAGGGAGGGAGAGAAAGGGGAAGAGAGATAAAGCAAAAAACCGGATGAAAAAGAGCAAAAAAATTAAATTTCGCTGCTAGAAAAAAAATTAATTGGATCCGAGTTTATGGTGTTGACAGAGATTTCCGAGTCGAATTCGAGAGACTAAAAAGATTTAAAAAAAAAAAATAAAATAAAAGAACGACATAAATCAAGAAAAAAAAAAAAAAAAAATAATTTCAAAAACTTAAAAGAAAAACAAATTATTAAAAATTCAAAAGACAAATAATACCTTTTATGCAATCTCTAAGGTTCAGCAACATTCTCATTTTTTTAATTACGAAAGAGAAAAATCACCGTTTTCGTTGAGCAGAAGAATCTTTAATGTTAATGGTCCTGATCTGCCTTCTCGGTTTCATTACAATTTCCAACCGCCGAAATATAGCTTCCCTGTCACTTTTCTATAAGGCGTTTCATGGTAATTGTTCTGATGAACTTTCATCCTTGGTACATCGACTTTATGAATTTAAGCGCAGTACTAGATTGGCAGCTAGATCTCATTACTTTATATTAGGTTGGTGCAAAAATAATGACGTAATAATGTCGTTTTTTGACGTTAAAAATACATCAAAAACGACATTATTACGTCATTATTTTTGCACCAACCTAATAGTTAAAATGGGTAGATGTAACAATAAGTTCTATGCTAACAATTTCTTCTATCGCACTTCTCGCTTGTGGAACACTTTTTTCCGGCTTCTTGCTTCCCAGTCAACTTTGAACTTCAAAAATTTTAATGCAATGTCTTCTTACTTCTTGTTCTTTCATTGTTATCTCTCATTAATATACTTTTTCTCATAGACTCTAACGCTCAGTAACACCTTGTATACAATTTGGCTTTCTTGACTTGCTTGTGGTAAAATTAATAAAAAAATTCAGTAAATTCTAAGAAGATGCCTCGTACCTTTTTGGTTACATGTCTTTTTCTTATGTACGCCATATTATTAAATAGATTTCCTATTTCGCAATACCCCCATTATCTGTTCATCAAGAAATGTTTTTTTTTTATAATTGGTAACTCTTATCCTACTGAGAAACTTTTGCAGGACTAAAAAATATCGTCTCCAAAATAGAATTATGATGACTTTCACTGTCGATATTTAATTTAGCCTTTTCTGTCATTCTAGCTAAAGATGTCACCCCTCCTCATTGAACAAAAAGTGTTAAGCTTTTAGAAAGAGACATGTTTATCATAATGGTCAGACCTAATGGAGCAGTGACACATACCAGTAATAAGTCTTAATATTAGGTTGGTGCAAAAATAATGATTGAATAATGTCGTTTTTGACGTAACGTCAAAAACGACATTATTATGTCATTATTTTGCACCAACCTAATAATTAACGGAGGATTTGGGGGTTAATCACAAGTTTTTGATTAGCGAAATTAAATGCATGAATCCGTGAGCTGATTCAACTTAATACGTGAATTTTAAGAAGAGAAGAAACTGCTAAAAAGAACGTGATGAATTACCAGAGCACGTAAATAAACCACAACAAGAAAAAAGATACTATTGGGTTGGAACTTTTTTTTTTATCTGCAATTCTCAACTCAAACGCAAGAAAAATTATCCATTTTCAAAAGAATGATTACAAGCGATGAAAAATGAATTATTTCCAACAATTTGCGGCTGAAAATGTCCTGGGAAAATTTACGAGATCAAAATTATAATAATATTAACCATCATTAGATATTCTTTTAATCTCTTTTAATCATCTTTTAACTAGTTATCATGCCAGATTAGCGAGTCGTAGGTTGGATTACAACATATAGTTTTTCCATTTTTTTGTTCTTCAAAGAACATACTAACGCACAACGGTGACCATTATTCAATTATTTGCTTTAGATTTCATTTATTCAGTAGCAGTTTAAAAAAAAAAAACACGGCATTAAAACATTGTTTCTTATTTCACTTCATTTCACATAATTACTATTTCTTTCATTTTGGATGAGTTTTTTCATATTTTCTGTTTACGACCTGATTTCTTCTCTCTTCTATTTTCCTTCTCTTTCATTCCTCTCCTCCTTTTTACCATGATTTTTTTCTATCATCTTCCTTGTTGTCTACTTTCTTTTATTTTCTTCTCTTTCCCCATTTCTTTTGCGCATCAAATTTTCTTCAAATCTCTTCATTAAAAGATTTTTCCAAGTAAAGCATATTTCATTTTACACTTCGTTTCTTTAATGGTAGTCTAGCATTTTCATATTTTTGTTTTTGTTCCATTTTGCGATATTAGATAAATTTTACAGCCGATATGTTCCATGAACTTCAATTTAAAATCACTTGAATTCAGAACGAATATGAGTACGGGCGTTATTCAAAGAGTCCTCTCTTCTCACAACTTGAAATATTGTAACAATGTCTATATTCCCTTGGCTATAAATGGCACTGACAGGTAACTGAAATGTTTATTCCTAATTCTCCAAACACGACTTTAACTTTTGCTTTTGCTTTTACATCGAATTTTCAGGTGATCATATTAAGCCGATTTTAAAAAATAAATTTTAACATAATTTCATAAAATATAAAAAAGCAATAATTTTTTAATTTATGATGATCCCGTGGGATGATCCCTTGTGATGACCCCCCCTGTGATCACCCCCCTCGTGATGATCACCCTTGTGATGATCCCTTGCGATAATCCCCTTCGTGATGGTTCATTGTGATGATCCCTTGCGATAATCCGTTGTGATGATCCCTTGTGATGATCCCCTTTGTGATAGTTCCTTGTGATAATCCCTTGCGATTATCCCTTGTGATGATTCCTTGCGATAATCCCGTGATGATCCCCTTCGTGATGGTCCCTGGTGATAATCCCTTGTGATGATCCCTTTCGATAATCCCTTGTGATGATCCCCTTTGTGATGGTCCCTTGTGATAATCCCATGTGATGATCTCTTGCGATTATCCCTTGTGATGATCCCCTTCGTGATGGTCCGTTGTGATGATCCGTTGTGACTATTTTTACTGCTTTTCATCATCATTAGTATAGAGCCCAGTCTGTCCTGCTATTTACCCATAGCTGGAGGGAGAAGAAAGAGGATTCACACCTTTCCCAAGAGTATTAGCACGTAAGTGAATGTAATAGATTCGACGGGAATTCGAACTCGGCTCTCCGATTCCTCAATCTAAGCCGCTATCTATTATGCACACAAAAAGCTTAGGTAGTTATTTAAAAAATTATTAAAATATGATATTATTTAAGAATAAATATTGTCAATATATTCTTTTGTTTTTTTGTGCTATAACAACAATCGAAAAAACGTTTATATTAGTTTTATATAAAGTTAAGCAAATACTCATTGTTTTGGCCTTGGGGATAAATATATATTGCAAAATATATATTGCAAAAGTCTGCGGCCAAAAAAACAACCAAAGTAAAGGATCATTGCAAACATGTAAAAATAATATTTGTAGAAAGGAATTATTATTAATTTCAAAATGGGAAAAGATTCTAAAAAAAATGAAAAGTTTATTAATGTCTTCGTTTTGAAATGCAATGGTTTTTTTGTTTTACGCATGGAATAGAAATTAGAGGAGACGATTTATTGCTTTTTAGTTGCATTTCGCTTTTTTATTTGTTAAAAGAATAAGGATGGACATAATTATGGGAATTATAAGAGGTTCGGAAGCAGAAAAAAAAAAACAGTCGATAGAAAGAAAGAATTTGAGTGAGAAGAAAAGCAAGGTAAGAGAGGAATAGAAATGTAGAAAGCGTAACAAACACAGAAACGAAGAAGACAGAAGATAAATAGAAAGAACGTAGGGAAAGTGAAAGAAAGAAAGAAAGAAAGAAAGAACAAGAGCAAGTAAACAAACAAGGAACAACTGAGATAGAAGTGTAGAAAGAAAGCAACAAAAGTACACAGAAACAAAGAATGAGCGGAAGATAGAAAAGACTAGAAAGAAATGAAATGAAATGAAATAAATAAATAAATAAATAAATGTGTACAGCTAGCAGCATGGCCCGGCGTTGCCCATGCTTGATTCAAAAATCGTACGACTCATACAGCAATCGCTATCACTTGACTTAAAATATTTTTGCCCTTCCTTGCCTTTAAAGGAGTGCCCTTTGCCGTGCTGATGTTGCTACATGCCTTACTTCTTGCCTATCTCACACTGCGAATTTTTTCTAAGCTCTATACTAAACATTAAATCTGTTACGAAAAAAGATCTAAACAAAATGAACACGAAACGATCAGCTTTAAAAAAAGGACTCGTAACTGGAAAAACCGAATGAAAAAAGAATGTTAACAACAAATACTTTTTCACACCCAACCCAGTTCTGCGGAATCAGAATTAATGTTGAGTGTAAGCAAGCGAATGAAGCAATTGGAGTAAAGTACCATGCAGATTTAAATTGTTCCAACTTGTGACGAATGCAGCTATCGATATTTTTTGCATGCTAGCATGCTAGTTAACATTCGTGTCAGTCGGCTGTTGGCTCTCACGCTGGCCAATAGAATCTTCCTGCCTCTTCGTGGCAGCCAGCTATAGGCTCTCACTCTGGCCAGTAGAAAATGGCCGCAAACTACATGAAAACTGCCGTAGAAGCATGAACAAATCAATTATTTCCACTATCGATGGGAGTTGAGAAATGCAAAGTCAGTCTTGGCTTTCCCGCTAACTTGGAGCATGTGCATGTAAATTTTGGTGCAAATCCGTCGAAAATTGCGGCCGTGCATTCGTTACAAACAAACAAACACACACACACACACACACACACACACACACACACACACACACACACACACACACACACACACACATCCTACCTTTTATAGATAGAGATACATCAAGGGCTCCAGACCAGATGCAGTGCTTCAAAAAGCTCATTAAGCTCAGTACCTCTCCATACGGTGGACCTGCAACGGATGGATGAAGTTATGCTGAAGCCTGTCTATGTCTTTAGCTGGAAGCGACTCGATGCGAAATTTCGGGTAATCCACGCACTGCCTTCCACCACTTTCTCGCCATTCGCCTTATTCGGCTTTTGAATAGCAGTGCACTTGAGGAATCTCTAAGGAAGCAGCAGGATCGTCTCTACAGCTAACCTCAAACGGAGGTGTTTTTCAAGGTGTTTGCCAGGTTATATAATAAATGAGAAGTTATATGGCTGCACCATATAAGCTCTCACGGACCTCAGCCACCAGTTCCTCATACCGAAGTAGCTTTCTTTCATGAGCCTCATCAATTCCTTCCTCTCTCGCGACCGTCACCTCGCCAAGTATCAGACGCTTCTTCTCGCTATCAATCAACATAGATCTGACTTCAGTCCAGACACAATAATCTCCCCTGGCAGCGTAGAATCAACCAACAATTCCAGGAGCACTCCGACTTGGTTTTCTGCCTTCTACCAGTCTGACCTTGCTTCAGGAAGGCAATCCGTACCTATAAACACAGCCACAATAACCAGGACCAAGTTATGTCTAAATGTGTACCAGCCATTCTGTTGCATCTTCGGGCAGGATGACAACATACGGCCTAGTTTTGCCGTATGCACAACCACCACACAACCAGCAGTGGATGATTCTTGCACGCCCCATTTCCTCAAATTTGCCGGTGATGCCGCAACATCATATGATAACTGAACTTTAAATGTCGTGCATGGAGACGCCACCAACCAGACCAACTGATCTGACCACCATCAACACCCTGCTGAGCCTGTTAGACAGACTACACCAATCGTCTATTCTCTTAGAGATTCCGAACTCCCTGTTCCTGTAACTTTCATGGCTCTCGTCCACTGGCCTATGGCCAGAATCGCTCTCTCTATTTCTCGCCCCTTAATTCCCTTATAACACCCTGAAGCTCTGCCTGCTTTACCATCCCTGATTCTTTCCGCCTTCTCCTTGTCTTCACTTCTGGCACATTTTCCCTGATTACAGCATCTTTAGATTCAGACAGCATGGACTGCAATCCCTACTTAGCCATCTCGTACTCCTCCACCTAACAAGTAACATGTAACTGAAGTTCACTCCCACGCAGCTTCCATACAAAGCAAACGGTGATAATCGTCGCAACACCAAGTCACTTCCATACTTATTTACTTATCTTCCACTCAATTATTTCAACTGGAGACAATGTCAACACATGTAGAGTTAGTGACCACGTTAGCCTCAGCACAAAACCGAAATGCATTAAATGCAGACGTTAAATTTTCCAGGAAGCCCGTATTGGCACAATCTCTACTGGGACCTCCCTGTTGGCATCAGAATACGTGCTCATAAAGTGTGCCTCCAGCTCCTCCCGCTCAACGCTCCGTGTTCCACTAGTTGTCTCCCTAAACAACTGCTTCGTGAAACTGAAAGGCTGTTTCGTGAAGAGCTTTCGCGCACTGGCAGCCATCTGTCCCTTTTTTTACAACCCTTTCTACTCAACTCAACTTGCCAATACGCTTCCTTATGGCCTCCAGGATTTTCCTGATTCCTCTGCTCTCTGCTCATCAGCACTTATTGCTGCTCCTAATCTTCGCATCACTTTCCTCAGTGACCGGTTGGTTCTCTGTCGCCGGCTTTCCTGCACTGGCGCTAAGGGCTTAGCTTTCATTTCCTTCAGTCCACATTTTAGTACACCATATGCAATCATCATGTCTTCAAGATGGCACTTTTTCCCTCCTGGTTCACCGATGACTGTAAAGATGGCAGCTGATAAGACTTCATTCATCTCTGACCATATCCTATTCACAGTGGAAGTCCACTTAATAACTCTGCGACTGGAATCAGCTTCCAAAGTAGGATTCTGCAAGACACTGTGGTGTTCATACTAATGTGACGTCCCTACAGCCTTCGCTCGCTCCTCGCTGCTTCGTTCGGGTGTCGCCGCTCCAAACGTGACGTCCGCCTGTCTGCGTCTGTCGTGTTGTCCCGTCCTGTGACGAACAACTGGCTTGATATTGGTCGCGGCACCCAAATGTGACGTTCTAACCTTTTGGTGATTCGGATGGGAATCTGGTCAGATCCGATATCTGCCTCGTCGTTCCCAACTCGCTTCCAACGTCTGGTTACCAAAGTAACTGCGTTGATCTCTATTCCGCCTACCCACGTTGTGAATTGATCTTAGGCAGACGAAATCAATCAGTCGTTGGGGCCGTAATGCAAGTTGAGTTCAAATGAGGGTGGTATCGCACAAATATGTGTAAAATAAAATAAAATAATAACTCAAAAGTTCAAGGTATCAAAATAATATATATATATCTGGTTGCTGGATACATAGGACTGCGTCTATCTCCCGACCCGCTATATGGATTGTGACACGTTGTTTTTGTTAGGTGAGTTTTAACATCTTAAGTTGTCTGTTTTTTAAGAAATTGGTTCTTGGTGTGTCTTCAGGCGATAGTCGTAAAACTTATTTTGGTGGTATGGATCTAAGTCGCTCTACAAAATAAATTGTTCTTGGATTGAAGATGAGTTCGGAAGTTGCGCGAATCTTACAAGTCAGTTTTGCGAGGCCCGCTTCAACTGCGAACTGGAAGCTGATCCGAACTGGACTGAACTGGGAAACTCTGATTTTCGCTTGCTGCGACTTTGCTTATATGGACGCCGACCAAAACCGGGGTGGGCTTGTTGGGGTTTGAGGTTCCTTGATAATTCCAAATCCACAATCCCCTTCTTTTGTTTTCGGTCAGGAAAAATGTATTATTTCCATTTTTGGAAGTCTTCTCTTACCCCTACCTTCAGAGGGCGTCAACGATCCTCCCACTTCTTCGCAGTAACATCTTATAGCTATCCTCTTTAAGGAGTAGTGGCAGGCCTCCTCCCCTGCATCACATGATCACCTCCGCCTGGTTCTCGTTAACATTCATCCAATGGTCGATCAACAGTGTGGGTGTGACCAGACTAGCCTTGTTTCTTAAAAAAATATCTTGCTCAAAGAAAAAAAAAGAATTATCTCCTCTTTTTTCTTTTTTTTTTTTTTTCTTTCCTTCTTTTCTTTTCTATTCTCCCTCCTTCTTTGGCCGCCAACAGACCAATGCGACCAGTAGTGTGATAACCTCAATTCTCATCTGGACTTCGTTAGTCAGATTTTCGCCAATTATCAGAGTGGGTGGTCGTCCAGCAAATACGGCCAACTTTTCCGATAATATTGTTTCGCTCTTATCGCCAGATTCTAACAAAACCCAGACCTTGTCTAACGATATCTTTCCCTCGACAAAGACATAACCTATTTTCCTTTGTTTTCTTTAGCTCGTGGGTGGTCAGGGCAGTCCCATGACACAGTTAAATGCTTATCTATTCTGTCCCGGAGTTTAGCTAGCCGATCTGGAATTTGTCAATTAGATTTTCGCCAGCACCAAGTGGCTGTTATCTATTCCCGATAATATATTTAGAATTTTCGGCAATGGCAATGAAACCTTTCACCATCTGTCACTATCAAAATTTCATTTCTTTCCCTTCTTTTCTTCCTTTTCTTTGCTTCCCAAATGGTGTCACACTAATACCGACACTCCGACGACTTATCGACTATTGACGTGCGCTTCTTTGTCACTGAATCCCCGACCCCGATCATCTTGGTTTGAAGGTGGGGGATTAAAATTTAACAGAGAGAAGTTTTAAAGAGGAGAGTCAAAGACGGTTTAAGTGAGAGAAATATGAATGTTGTCGGATGTCTCTCTGTTAAATTTTAATCCCCCACCTTCATCTTTAGACCTTCCTGCTCTTCTCCTGTTTTTCTCTCGTCTGTTACCCCTCCCTATGGCATTCATTTACTCTAACATTCATCCCACACTCTCATACATACACTCTTACTAAATTTTATCTTTTATTCCTGGGGTTGTTTTTCTCTTTTCTTTTTGAATTTGTAGGTCTGATGAATTGGATCGTATTTTCGATTCCAATGGAATAAATTATGACCATGGAATATTAGTGTTTAAGCCTTTTTATATATATATATATATATATATATATATATATATATATATATATATATATATATATATATGTTTAACACACACACACACACACATATATATATATATATATATATATATATATATATATATATATATATAAATAAAAAAAAAGAACAGTAAGATATATAATCCGGTGTTCTTATAGATATTTTATTTTTACAAAATAGTTTACACAGCATTAATATTATAAATTAATTGATTTAAAATATGGATTTTCGCTACACAGTTCTAACCATTCAAAAATGGAAGCTAAAAGCTCCGAATTTAATTTTGTAATTAAATTAAAGACATTAGTTCCATTTCATCCTCAAGCGAATTTTGGAGTAACTTTTAAAATTACTGGGTTTTAAATACACAGCTAAAAACATAATTCATGTTTCCAAGGTCACAGATAAATCCAGTTTACTAGACTAGGGGTGTTTGGGTGTTCAATATGTCTATATTTTTAATGTATCAGTTATTGTTTTATATATATATATATATATATATATATATATATATATATATATATATATATATATATATATATATATATATATATTGTTTTGACACACATAAATGTACCTGAGCAACGTCTGTACAGGGTCTAGCGAAACGCCCTAGTAGGCAGGTGCATTCAGATATGAGTGGCCAGCCATCATATATAATTATATATTCGCCTGTCTACTAGGACGTTTAGCTAATCCCTCTTAAAGACGCTGCTCAGGCACATTTGTATTTCTTAAAAACATACAAACCCCCGTGTGTCTCATACTGAAACTATGCTGAGCGGACAATTGTTACACTTTCCAAGAGAGAGCGCATTATCTACCGCGATCGACGGCCTGAACAAGACTAGTACGCTCAACCCCTCAGTCACGGTGACTTGTGACTTCGTGCTAGCACAACCATCTACGGCTCGTAAATAGTTCCGTCTATCCATTTTTAGCCACAAGGTTTCGGTATAATTATAGGTGAAGAGTGCTTAGTATTGTAATAGAGAAATTATTACCGATATTGTGTTGATTCTTAGTTTCACAATCTCTCTCTCTCTTCTTCTGTCTGTCTGTCTGTCTCTCTCTCTCTCTCTCTCTCTATATATATATATATATATATATATATATATATATATATATAGGCAGCAATTTTTCATTGATGCATGTTTCATTAAATAATATAGACAAGTTGTGTCTATTCATTTTAAGTAAGTTCCTTTCATATTGTCTGATAAGCTTAACATTATCATTGAAAGACAAAAGGAAATCACCATATTGATACATGTTTAAATCCTATCTAAGCTTTCGGCTTACATAAGCCATTATCAAAGATGACAATTACATTTCAATATATCAAACAATACAAGGACGAAAC